TCCTTTCTTTCTTTCTTTCTTTCTTTCTTTCTTTCTTTCTTTCTTTCAAATAACTCCAACTGCTGGACCATGTTTATGAAGGGCAAGCAGTGGGAGAAATGAGGTTTGTTAGGATATAGTTATGTTAGCTTTCCTTTTATTTAAGCATTAGTCAGAAGGCTTTGCACACTACCTTTTGAATATGCAAGAACATGTCAATACAGATTTCTGAAAATCTTCATCGAGTTTTATGAAGATACTCTTACCCAAAACACATATTTTTTTCTGGTAAGGCTGAATTACATTACTCAGTTGTTGAATAGCAAGCCTGATTATGCTTAACAGATTGCATATTTAGCTGCTAAATTTTCAAATTGCTGTGTGATTTATTTACATATGTTGTCCTAAGACTATGAAAACCCATGCAAATATTCTAATGGCATATACATGAAAACAAATTGAGTATAGATGAAGACATATAAAATGTATGTGTTTTGCAGATAAAGAAAATTTTTGCAGAAAACAATTCACATGGGTGAGAATTGTGAACGGATCTAAATAATTCTGTGGAATCCTACACTCTTGTAGAGCCATATTGAAATATATTGTATAATTGCATCCCAAAAGGAACTAACTGCTTTTTGTTTTGGATTAATTGTTGAATGCGCCTAACCAAAATGAGAATGAAATAAGGACAGAAATTTAAATTTAATGGTCATTAGTAGGAAAAAGAAAACCTGTTTCTGAGCTTTGATTTGCAGTTGATCAAAGCTAAATTGTTCAATTGCATTACAGATGAGGGTATTTCTGTTTATTTTTGGTTTTCTTTGATTCCTAAAAGGAGAAGCAAACTCCTTGAGAAAAGTTATATTTCCTAAAGGTTTTTTGGGAAGGCAATTGTAGCCTTCTATCCAAGTTTATTGACATTAACATATCTTCAAAACCTAAAAATTGAACATTGGAATGATCCCCAAAGCTCAGGAATCACCAAAAATGAGGGGTAGAAAGAGTATAAGGATGAAGGAGAGGATGCTGGGAATCCCGTCCTCTGAACATGGCATGGATGTTATACACGTGAGCTAACAACAGCTGTGACCACTCACCACAGCACATGACAGGATCGAGTCTGGAGGATAGAGCTCATGAGGCCACAGGCCTTGCTAGGAGCTATTGCCAGGTGACAGCTGATTGGGCAGGATGTGTGTCAGTTTTCTTCAGGATCATGACCCTGGATAAACTGCCTGTACTCCAGTGGATGGTCCTATACCCATGCACATGGTTCTTCTACTATCCACGAGTCTTCTGTGAGGAAAATAATGATAACGTATACAATATACCTATACAATATACAGAAGATGCTGATGTTGTACTGATGATGCTGAGGGGAGTGATGCCATAGACAAGATCTGGTCGAAGGGGAGTCACTGGAAGATGGGACAGTAGGGAAAGAGAAATATTCTGGTTGGGGGGGAAATCAGTAAAGAGGGTCCTAAGTACTTGTGCTACTGGTATAAAAATACAGAATGAGGAAAAGAAAACTTTTCAAGTTATGCTTATGTGTTTTTTTTTTCTTTTCCTCAGAGGTCCATACATAGGAATATATTCAGTTCATTAGATACTGATCTGAATGACTGATTGTGTGGAGAAACTTACTTTGAAGTGAATGTTGTAGAGGAAGAGTTAGGGATGGAAGCAATCCTATCAACATGGTAATATTTTAACGTCCGCATGATAACATTTTAACCTCAGCATCGTAACATTTTAATGTGTGTTCACAGAGCAAGAAAACTTGTTTCTTTCCATTGTCAAACCAAAGTGCTTTGTATAGAAGAAAACTTAAGCTTTTGGGGGATATTTTGGGCACTATCCCCAAAGAAATCATGGTCTAGGATGTTTTTGCGTTGGTGCCAGAGTGAGAGCAGGGTGCAAAGTGGCTTGGGGTGGGAGAGAGAATTGATGTGGAGAAATTAGGCCATGGCATGATTTCTTGGTTAGTTCTTTAATTAGGTGTGCTTGCCTCTTACAGTTTTCCTTCCCTTCCCTTCCCTTCCCTTCCCTTCCCTTCCCTTCCCGTCCCTTCCCTCCCCTCCCCTCCCCTCCCCTCCCCTTCCCTTTCCTTTCCTTTCCTTTCCTTACTGGAATTCACTTTGTGGAGCAGGCTGGCCTTGAACTCACAGAGATCTGCTTGCCTTTGCATCCTGAGTGCTGGGATTAAAGGCATGTATATATGTGTATATATATTTTCTTTTTTGTTCAGTATTTACCTGTTCTCCTATATGAAAATAGATTGAATTTCATTTCAGATTTTTAATTTTTTTAAACTGTGCTTTTTTAGATTTATTTTATTTATATGTATTTATATGGGTATATTTATGGATGTCTTGCCTACATTTACATGCATACATACACACATATGTATATATATACACCATGTGTGTCCAGTACTCTTAGAAGCCAGAAGAGAGTGTCATATTTTGTGGAAGGAGTTATGGACAGTTCTGAGCTTCCCTGTAGGATCTGAGTACTGAAGTCATGTCCCCGAAACAACTGAACCATCTCTCCAGCTCCTGAAATTTATTTTTATTGTGCAGGAACATCAGATTTTCTTCTCAAATATGTTTACCTTTTTCTTGGGACACTATGATATAAAATTAAAGATTTAGCAAAGCTTTTTAATTCTAGGTTGGAATCTAGGCTTTAGTGGAAACATACTTTTGGGAAATTTGAATAAACTTATTATAATTTATTACATACACTCAGGAACATTAAGAAATACTTTTTAAGTATACTGCTTATAGGTTGGTTTTATTGTTGTTTTCTAGTTCTTGATGTATTAAATACTAATATTCAGAAGAATAAATATCTTGTGGTATTTTAAGAATGTATCACAAATTGTGTTTATTATTAGCACACTTCGGTCATTTTAATAACAACAGAAAGCAGAACATCAAAAGTTGAGACTGAGTAACAAAAAGCATAATTTTAAGTGGAAATTTGGATGCTCTTGAGACCCAATGGAAGGTGTGAGGCAGTTCTAGCAGGGCTTGATTCAGAGCTCTGTTTGATGAGGGTTCTGCTTTGCATGGCTGTAGCTACTGTGTCAGGCAAGATGGGCTCTCAAAAGTCAGTCTCTCTCTCTCTCTCTCTCTCTCTCTCTCTCTCTCTCTCTCTCTCTGTCTCTGTCTCTCTCTCCATATATATATATGTATCATGCAATGAGTATGATGTATTTTTATCAGATCTCTTTTCTCCTCCAACTCCTCCTATGACCCCTCCCATATCTTTTCTCAAAATCCTATTTTCTTTTATAATTATGTATTACATATGTACATATAGAGAAACTGACAAACATAGAACCTACTGAGTCAGATGCATGTGAGGCTGATGACTTGGCATATCCCTCCCTTCAGTCCGAGCCTTGTGGAGATGGGGACAGGAGGGTTTGGTGCATGTAGCCAGTCAGAGGTGCTCAATCAGTGAGCACCTGGTTCAGTGGGAGATCCTACCTCAACAACTTCAATGGAAAAAAAAAAGAGTGACAGAGGGAGATGCCCATCGGCCTCTAGCCTTCACACACATGCACACATACTTGCATGTATAGTGGTACACACATGTACACACAAACCATAAAACACACACACATGTACACGCACATGCACACACACACACACAATTAGATCTGAGATCTAATTCTGAGATCTTTGTCATATTACGGTTCTCCCTCTCCTTCTTCTCCCTCTTCCTCTCCTCCCTCTCCTTCTCCCCCTCGCTCCCTCTCTCCCTCTCTCTCTGTATGTGTGTGTCTTTCTCTCTCAGCCTACCTCCGTATATCATTGCTTACACACATAATCTGTCACAGTATTTTGGATTTACATTGGCCTGCATATGTCGTTCTGCTTCCACGTGTGTATGTATGCTTACACGTGCATATATTTTTATCAGTTTATATAAAGCTATGTGTAATGATGATTTTTCTCTCAATATAATTTTGAAAATATGTTGTCTGCCATTCGCCTTCACTCCAATGTGTAAGTATAGACATCCTTTGAATGAATATACATGCTTTTTGATTCTCCAGGCTTTTCACTGAAGGAATATTTAAAAGGCTGAAAGATTTCTTTGCACTATGAACGCTATCACTTAGCTATGCTCCGCATTAACTAGCTTACCTAGAGAAGCTAGTCTATTTTTATCACTTATTTTCAATGAGAATAAAATCATACTGCCAATCTA